GAGAGCCAAATATGAAATTATGGAGATGGATGTAACACTTCCAAGGGAGCCTAAGAGTTGTGTTTTCAATGGTCTTGGTCATTTGGACAAATCAAAACAAAAGAAAAGCAAAAGATCAAGGCATTGCAATTCTCGCGCTGCACGTCGACGTCTTATTTTTAGACCATATCTCGGTCTAGGAATATCAAAATGAAGTGATCCTTACGCAATTGGATAGAAGACTCGAATGGTACAACTTTCAGGAAGACCATTAAGCCTAGTTTTGAAGTTTTGGAGGCCAAAAGGCACGGCCAAGTGCACGGCTGTGCCTAAGGCCGTGTCATCGAGGCAGTAAGCAACATTTCTAGGTTGATTTTTGGCACAGTCGTGCCTACAATGCTCTGTTTGTATTTAAGATCATTTTCATCTTTCAACTAGGTTCCAAACAATACACGAACCCTAGTTATTCCCTACTCTTTCTATTCATATTTTTAGGTTATATTATGTGTAGATTTAGGTTTTTATCATCTTTGAAGCTTGTATTGAAGGATCTATACTTTGATTTCAAGATTCTACATCCATTTCAATAGAGAAACTTCTTTTCCCTTTTATCTCTTTATCTTGCAGTTTTTATGCTTTACACTTATGTTTTTGTGTTCTTTATGCTATTGAATCATGAGTAGTTAGTTTATGAGATTGAACTAGGGTTGTATTATCTATCTTGATGCTTAGTTTGTGTTTGCATAATGGCTAGAATTCTAACGTAGAGTTCATGTGTTTGTGAATAGATCTTGTTAATGTTTGATTTACACATTCATTAGCATATTTTTTGAGGATTTATTATCTCAACAAGAGTTGGATGATGAATCCGAGCTACCCCTTGCATAAACCCAATTTCTTCCTATGGAAATGGGGAAATTGGGAGTTTAGATGCTTTGGTGCTTAATGGACTTGGAATTGATCGATACGTCATGAGAGTGGGGCAATCCCTTGTTCTAATCATTGTTTATTTGCTTATGAAAGTGACTTTAGACTATGATACCTACGTGCATTCCCGTTTGATTATTCCTTGGGTATTTGTTCTCCATAACCTAACCTCATAGGTTGTTAAAGCATCTAGCTATAAGATAATGGTCTCTAGTTTAAGTATTATTTCTTTATTTTGTGTTTATCTCTTGTTTATTTGTGTTTGTTCTACCTTTCACGAGTTGCTTAGTTTCTTGTTGATTTCCTAGTGCTAGTCCCTAGTTACTTGTATTTGCATATTACGTGTCATAACCCCCAATCTCAAGACAATGGCAAAACACCTTAGCTCACTGTAACGATATAGATTTTTTTTTTTTTTTTTTTTTTTAAAGCGAGGTTGAAACTAGATTTAGAACATTATAGATCTTAAATGTAATATATGATAAAAACAAAACACTCATGATAACAATTGAGAAGCTTTTGCCAATAGAGAAGATAGAGAAATGGATTATTCTTGAAGCCACGATGTTTGTCTTATCTTGATCAGAAGACAAACAAATTTAGGCAAAATTTAAATAGAAAGAAAATCAATCACCATAATAATTAGAGCTTGTGTGGGGCAACCTTTAATCTAATTAGTCAAAGAGTTTACTTTATGATGATTATGAGGTTCCAAGTTCAACTCCCCTTGAGAGTTGTTAATAGTCGTTTTGGTTTGAGTTGATCAGTTATAAACAATATATAATACTTTACCTCATTATGATCTTTTATTGGCTAAGATTACAATACGAGTTTCATTTATAATGCATGTTCGCATAGTGATGATGTGTTTTCCCAAAAAATAAAAAACCTTTGTGACTAAAGAAGATAGAGTGGGTGGTACCCTTCTTAACATTTCTATAATAATAATAATAATAATAATAATAATAATAGTAATAATAATAATAATAATAATAATCTTAACTATAATAAAGCTATATGGTTTGGGAAATAATTAATGTTACAATTAATGCCACAACATCTTTTATTGTAAAAAAAAAAAAAGCACAACATTTACAAAATAAAATAGCTATATATATATATATATATATATATATATATATATATATATTATAATCATATAAAAAATATACTTTTGAAAAATAAAATAGCTATATATTATATAATCATATATAAAAAATATGTTCAATTAGAGTTTAAATTTACACATGCAAAATTTGAAATTTACTTTCCAAATGTAATTATCTTAGTTATTATTCGTATTGTGAAAATTATAATATAGATGAAATACAATTAAGAATAAATCAATGTAATTATGTAAATTCTCTCTATAAGTTTATTTGAATATGCACATAATTAGAGATTATATTAACCATACAAAATTATAATTATAATTTTAATTTTAATTGTAATTTTATATTCTATAAAAATAATAAATACTTGACCAATGGAAGCTCAAAAATATTATTATATTAAATAATTTAAAATATTTTATTTTTTTTATTTTTTATTTATATTTATAATAACATAATTTTTTTTCGTGCATCGCGCGGGTGAATTACTAGTAATAATAATAATAATAAGGTCAATGTAAAACTTGAAAAATAATTTGAAGAGATAAATGCAATATTGACTTTTGAAGGCGAACTTGTCTTTATTACATTCATACTCCCAAGTGAGTCCCAACTACTCCATGTTTCCTGGCGTGAGACAAACGCGCCGTACAGTCCGTGGGTAAAAAAAAATCTGATCATATACTCCGTATCTTTTTCTTTTCCAATTTCTTTAATCTAATTTTTTGATTATTAAATGGGAGTTATTTTTTTATTATTTTTATTTTGTCTTGTAGCAGTTTAATTCCTGGAATGCCCTTTGACATCAACGGACTTAATGAAACACCTACCTTATTGTTACTACCATTAAGGTACCAACTTTTTACAATTTTCCAAAACTGGTCCACTCATCACTTAGGTTGAAAATTGACAAGAGATTGGCATTCATTATCCAAAGTGCTATTATTTTTGGCAATTTCAATTCAACCCCTAAAGTTTGTTATAGTAACGTCTTTGTCCCATCTTGTTTGCGATAGTTACATTTGATTTTGAAAGAAATTTAAATCTAAGAATATGAATGATAATTTCACTTGATTTTAAATAAATTTTTCAATCAATATCCCAATAGAGAGGGGAACAAGGACAAAAACCAAACAGCGACGGAATTAGGGTAGGGGGCCTCATAAACGAGAAGTATACTCCCCTTAATGCTCTGTGGGGCCGGGATGTGGGGTCCTCGGAGTGGGATTCAACCTTTTGGGAGAAGAAGATTATAAGAGCATTCATAGTAGTATAGGTTTTTTGTCTTTTTGTATGTGTGATTAGGAAAGAGAATATGGGAGGATAGAGAAAAAAAAAAAACTGAATTTAAAAACAAAAATAAAAATAATAAATAAACAATAGGTCAGGCGCGTGTAATGCACTCGCCCGTGTAGCCACCTACTGTGCGCGAAACGCGCACAACAGGTGATAATTTCAAAAAAAAATAAAAAATTACGGTTACAATATTCATCATTTGCAGAAGAACTCAAACCACTCTCTCTCCATTTTCTCTCCCCTCCACATCCCCATTTACTATTCCATACCCCAAATAAACCACTGATAGGAATATTCTAAGAGTATTTTGTTAGCCATTGCAAAATTTAGCCAGGAGATGAGAAGTAACAAAAAGTTACAAACAAATAATCTCAACCACATATATACTTAACAAAAAAATATATACTCGCCGAAGAGATTCACAAATATGTGGAAGTAGATGGGGGAAGTTGGGGAAGGAGGGAGACAATGACAAAAGAGGCAGTCTAGCTAAGCTAGTTGTAAATTTGTTGGTTTCTCAATGTAAGGTAGTATTTATAAGGTTGGACCAAACATAAAATAATATGAAGTTTGACGGTGTCCGGTGAGACACAATTAAGGTAGGCAACGTTGAAATAGACAAATAAGAGGCAGGGAGTTGCAGTGGCAACCCAAATCCAATGGATTGTCCTTTTCCCCTGTCACTCATTAAAACCCAATTCAATTAATTACAGTGGTTGTCACTTGTGAGAGAGGTCTCGTCCCACCTATCTTTCTTATTATTATGAGTTGAGAAGTTTTATTTTGTTAGCAGTGGCAAGGTTTAAGATTTAAATTTATCTTTTTTACTAATATAATTGGTTAATCAACGTAAAAGAAGTTGATTGAGAAGCTTTGTTTTGTTAGTTGATGCAGGATGTAGGGTACAAATTTATCTCATCAACCAATTTTCATAGTAAGAGTCATGATGGGCATTCAAATTTGGGGTTCAAACATATTATGAGTTGAGAAATGTCTCAATAAATTTTTCTTCTTTCTAAATTTATAGTATTGTCATATTTAATTCTTGACGTTTAATTTGATCACGTTTAGTTCAATTTCATGATTATATTGACATCGCACATTTGTTTATTTGTTAATTTTTTTTATTAAATGTACGTTAATTAATAAGACAATCGTATTTTATCGTCTTAGTCTTTCCTTCTTGTTAAAAAAATTTATAAACGATATAATGAACAATATAGGGTAGCTCATACACTAAAAACTAATCATATAGATCCCAATGCTTCTCATAATCTTATTAGTGTGATCAAGTGGGCAAAGCATAATTCTCACATCAAAAGATTATGAGTTCGATTATTGCCAACATTCTCTCAACTGAGTCCATCACATAATGTGATTTACCTCTCATTTGTGATTCACAGGGCATTGTAAATGTGATATGGAACAACAAAGTATTTGATTTGATATGTGAATAATGACCTTACCAATGGTACTAAGTTGCTCCCTTATAGGGAAAATTGTGAGTTATATTGACTCTTTGTGCTTCATTTAGTTGAAAAAATAATTATGAACAGATACTACATTATAATACAATCAATAGTATTAAAAAAAAAAAAAAAAGAAGAACTAAAGAATGGAGATATTTTTATAAATAAAATAATATTTTTATTTTTACTATTTAAAAAAAAAAAAAAAAGCCTCTGATAGGCACACTAGACTTTCCCACAATAATTGTTATACAATATGTACACACAACCTTAAAAGAATAGTGGAATGGTTGGAAATACTCTCTTGTTGCAAGCCACTGTGTTAACTGCTAAATAAGCATCAACAAGCCGATTAGAAGCTGTGGTAATTACAGTGAAAAAACATCAGCAAATGCTCAGATTTTGTGCAGAGCCAGAGATGATGGTTAAGCTTTCCAGTTTCCAGTATATGATTGCCATCATGTTTTCAGTGTACACATACACTAAAAACTCGCAGCAGATATACAGCAATGGTTCATCTAGTTCTCGGGCTCTTAACATGAACCAGCGCCCTCTCCTTGATGTTTTCGTTCATGGTCCCTGAAAGCGCCATTCGCGCATCAAAAAGCTCGAGAGATTCATAACAAGTACAGTTTCATAAACTAGAGCCAGGTCGGAACCATGAGAAGTAAAAACGGAATCATATAGGAGATACAGAAGATTGGATGGGGTATGTAGTTTACACATACAGTTACCATGTGTGGAGTTTGACTCTTCGTGAGAGCTGTCTATTGGCCTTCTCGGTTTGAGCCGGTTAGCTGATTTACCAACTTGTGGTCCTTTGCCAGCTAGGGTTACAAGACGGGCTTCTATTGTGGGCTTTCCCGTAAATCAAAGATATCTTGCAGAAATTGGAATGAACTCCATTTTCTGCATGTGCCTCTCTCCTCTTTACTTTATTGTTATTTGGAAACCCAACCCTGTTAACTATTCACTGTAAACATCCCTAAAATAATGAAACACTTTTTAGGAATATCAGCTAAAAATTTTCAATGTTATCGTTTGTTCAACCCAACCCAAGTGTGCGAAATAGACAAGATAATTTCCTCTAATTCTCGTTTCCAGAACCCTAAAATTCAATGTCCAAGTTTACCCAAGCAAGTATTGTTGAAACTAATCTTGAATAGGCTACAAGAATGGGGCTCCGTGCTCGCTTGGGTTAAACGAACAATGACATAAAGAGATTTAGCTGATATTCCTAAAAATTCCTCAATTTTTTTAGAGTTTTGGATGTTTGTTGTGAATAGTTAACGAGTTTGGATAATTGATAGGGAACTAGTGGACGCACCTATAATTGACGATGGAAATCAACTATATCATCACTATAATTCGAGTGAAAAGAGTAATTTTCCCTTATTATTACTCGGATAATCCATAGAATAATTCTACTAAAAATGATTATGGAAAGACAAAATCATCATTGAACTGTAAAGAGAGGTGTGATGGTTGTAGCTGACCTTATGTAATCTAGAGTCTCAGTTTGATCCTTTCAGCCCATTTGAAAATCTGAGAGTACACTTGATCTCCTCCCAAATGTTCTCCTGTAGCTCCTGCAGCGACTCTCGCGATATCTTCAATCAGCGCAAAATTCCCCATTATATCAACGTGGGCTCCGCTCTGAGTTCCCCTACCCTCCAACAAGTTAGCTGGAGGGTTGTGGTTATACTCTCTAATGTAAGTACGGATTCCATATGGATTGAACCGGGTCTTTCCCCGCCAACCTCTTGCGCACATATAGCCCGCGCTCAAGAGAGGGACTGTCTCGTCCCCATCAACATGGAACACACCACCTTTCAAGCAAGGGCTCTCGTCTCCACCGTCTGCTGATGTGTCAATCTGGAAAGGTATATAGCACTCAGATACAGGACTAAGTTTGTATACATATGCTCGTTCAGTTGGAATCCCAACACCATACATCGAATAGATTTCCATGTCAGGTGCATCGGGTAATCTGCAAAGCAGCATAAGGCAAAAATATTAGGCTCGATATGTTTTCCAAACAAACTACATAAAAAATGCAGCGAAAGCAAGAAATATTCGCGATCTACCTAAGATAGAAGCATTGTTGTGACTAGAGAGGGTTCGTGTTTAGAAGTCAATGAAGAAAGAAAGACAAAAAAAAAAAAGGAAAAGTGAACGTAGTACAAGAGCACTCTGGTGCAAATTAATAGAGAAATGATATAAAAGATGAAATTATAGCTTGACAGTGTCTCACTTCGTTTCCAAGGGATTTGACCAATATTTGTAATGCGCATACTTTTTATCATCTAGATTTTCAGCAATTCCATGTGAAAAATGAGCAGAGCCACGCTTCATCATCTTTGGGGCGACATAATGGAGAAGATCCAAAGCAGATTCAGTCGTGTAAACTTTATAGTCTGCAACGGCTTTGATACCCCCAACACCCATATCATGGTACTCAGTCCATACGTCACTGCAAATAGTATTTGTGTGGCTATTGCCCTTAAGAGCACCCTGGAGATTAAAAAAAAAAAAAAAAAAGGAATCAAACTCGATTTTAGTTTGTGCCGATAGTGTCAATATGATGCAACCATAAACTGCAGCGAGCCAATATTAAGGCCTAGTGCTAAACTACTTCACCATCTTGAACCAGGTCTGTCCTAAACGCAATGGGCAACTAAGCAGAGAACGAGGTATATATTCATGTCATTTTGGAAAATCTAATATGTGATAGTACTACGTATGAGAGTAGAATTTAAAATATGCAGTTGGCAAAGATAAATTATTATTTTTGGTCAGACCATGAGGTGTCCTGAACAGGCCCTAACTGTAGGAGGCACCTTTAAGCCCGTACCATACTCAGACTAAAAAAATGGTTGTTGGAAAATTACCCGAAAGTCAACTCTCTCAATCTCCAATGGATGTGATTCGGCTACATCCTTCCCAAACGATATTACTCTTCCATATCTTGCATGAGTTGCATTACCTAAAATTCCTGTAACAATGTTGGCTGCTTGGTGAGTATTATTGTTCTTCAGCTTTTTTGGATTACACTCATGGCCTTCTTCCGGGGACCAATCAAGGCCACCCCAGATGGTGTTACCACCCTTTGGTATAATAGACATTACCGAATCCCACGTACGAGTCATTCGCATCACGTGCTGTAAAGTTTGAAAGCTAAACATGTCACTGTCCAAAAAACTTGGCGCCATAGCCCTGCAGAGGAAAAAAGTCAAAAACGGAAGGGGCAATTCAGATCAAGGATCTCAAGAGCAAGAAATAGACATGAAATATTAGCATTGCATCTTAAAAGGTAGTTTTGCTTTGTGGCAGTAAGGAAAGACCTAGCAACGGCAATATCCTTGGCTTCAGCAGAGAATAATCCCGCGATTGCTTTTGGAACACCCAGAAATGGCCCGCCAATGTTCATCACAGCCTTTATGTGTTTCGCACACCAATCTGACCCACCACCACCTCCCATTGGAGCAGGTGCCTCGACCCATTTCATAAAATGCAAGAAATATAGAACACCCATTGAATGTGGAATTACAACCACCTTCTTGCCACCATTTGTGTCTACCATGTGTTCTATGCTACTTTTCATCCTGCTTAGAGTTTGATCCCGTACCTGATGATGTTGCAAATTATGATTTCATTTGAACAAATATCATTTAAAGAATCAAGATCAAGAAATTAAACAGATATCATTAAGTGCAATCAATAACCAAGAGTGTAAGAATAGGCTCAACTGATTATTAGTCCACGTCAAGGAAATCCCAGATATTGCAAAGCCACGTAAAATAAATAACATCTATAGTACCTCAGTGTTCTGGAATGAGATTCTCCAATCATAGGAAGCCATATACATGTTCTTCTCCTCATATCCAATCCGAGCCAGGTTGGCAATCAAAACTGCCCATACGAAATAACCTGGTGCAAAGTAGTCAGCTGCAACAAGTCCAGAAACAGGCCTGATCCTTATACCAGAAGGATCCAGTCCACTTTCATTGTTCAGCGACATATGCTCCACCCAGCACAATGGTCTGCAAAACACATATGCATACATATTCAATATTGATTTCAACAGCTTCTCTTTCACATTACAGTCAACAGAAAACCCATTGCAATGGAGGAATGTAGTTCATATCCTATAGAGTTAATACCCAAAATGACCCATCGACTATTTCATAATTCACAAATTGGTCCCTTAACTCTGCAAAATTTTACTCATGTTAGTCTTCTGTTACTTGTACTGAAGACTAAATTGGGTAAATTTTTACATGGTCAAGGGACCATTGACAGTTGAGGACCAATTTAGTACTAATTATCTCTATCCTAAACTTAATGCAGAGTTGAAATTTAGCAATTAAGCTATGAAATCCACAAGAGCAAGGAAAAAAACTCAATTTCTCAACACACAACAGATCAAAAACACAAATATATTATCAAGAAAGCCAGCATGGACATCTTTGTTGGTTCTGATAGATTATGGACAAGCACACACATCGAGCTTGAGGGAACTCCGTATGGGAGCCAAACACTAGTCCTCCCACCTAATCGAGGGAATTTCACTTTTTGTGACAACACATTATCAAGAAATTTATTTTCCACGTTTTCAATTTCTTGTGTACTCCGTATAAAGTTGGTTACCTTTTATACAATTCACCAAAGGTACCACCCCAGAGCCTCTTCCTGAACAGCCCCTCAGCACATTGGTGCCCTTCCCACAACTCCAGCCCGCCGGTAACAATCCCAGGCACAAACACCACCGGATGCTTCGCCCTCAGCCCTTCTTTCGCCAATTTCACGCCGGGCGGGTCCGGCAACGGCCCGGTGATCGCCTCCGTCACGTACTGCGGAAACGACGCCGGCATTGCATTGTACATGAACAACAGCACCCACCAACTCGAGCATATGCAACCCACAAACCAGCAACAATTGTCCACACACCTCCATCTCCTCCTCGCCTTCCTCGAACCTAAATTCGCATTCGAGCTTTGAACGCTCTTCTTCTCATTAGGCTCTGAACTCGACGCTCTCTTGCTTTCCCCGCCCTTTCTCAGCCTCAGTATCGACTTGTACATGTACTTATACACCATATAAATACGAACTTGAAAGCTCCTTCAAATAAATTCCCAGATTCCAATTACTTGAACACACAGATAATAGTAACAATTACGGAGTAATAAACAAACAAGAATTTCAGTTTAGCTCAGCTCAAAACCCAATTCAACTACTGGCCTCCCTAGTCCCAGCTAATGCTATTCTGAAAACCCTAGCCCCTGTACGCGTCAGAGGAAATGGCCAAAAAAAATTACGGAGTATTAAGCCGACGAACTTGATTATTTTAGTTCCAGAAGAGCCGTATATACTGAAATTTTAAAAACAAAAAAAAAATACGGAGAAAAAAATACTCCGTAATATTTATGTGGCGAAGCTACTAGATGTATCGTGTATATACGTATACGAGTAGCTTCTAGGGCGTTGGGCGGCGGAGAATTTAGGAGACTCGACGAAGATTCCGGTGAGAAATAACAGCGGAGAATCTACAACTACGGAGTAGAAGAGAAAGAAATATGAGAATCTGTATAGATGTAGGGGTGTCGGGTCCACTTGTCGGATTTTGGACGAAAGTTTCCTTTTCTTTTTCTTTTTTTCTAAAAAATATTTTTGGATACTCGGAGGAAAGTAAAAAATACTAAGTAAAGCAATAAAGAAAATTTTATTTGTGATCCACTTTTAGTTTATTTTTAAAAATATTTTTATTTGATCATAGTATTATTATGGTATAATTATTTTTTGTCATTCGTCAATAAAATCGTTTAAATATAAAGTATTTTAATCTATTCAATTCTAAGTGTTAAGTCTTTTTTTTTTTTTCTGTCCTAGATTTATATATGTTATGAAGTATACTTGTAGTTTTTCAATTGCACTTTTTTGAATTTACAACAAATTCACTCGGTTATTGCGAAAGAATCAATACTAAAAATAAAAGATAGATGTATTTTAAAAAAAAAATCGAAAAGAAATTTATACTAACAAAGCACCGACGAAAATTCTTATTGAGAAAGGATATGAGAGAAAGTTTCTTTGACGAATTGAATAGGGTTTCGATAAAGATATATTATTACAGAGAAGTAGGGGTGTTAGCGAACAGAACTTTCGGTAAACTACTCGTGTTCGTGTTCGGTAAGCGTTCGTTTATGTTTGTTTATTAAGGTAAACGAACATTAACAAACAAAATTTAGAGCTCGATTTATAAACAAACAGAGTCTGAACAGTTGTAAGCTCGTTTGCTAAGAGATCGTGAACAAGCTCGTTTTTGTTCGTTTAATAATGTTCGCGAACAAACTCGTTTAATGTTTGTTTCATAACGTTCGTGAACAAGTTCGTTTGTGTTCGTTTAATATTTGTTTGTATTCTCTCTGTAGTTGTGTTACTTGTTTGGTTATTTTTCATGAACATATATTATTTCTTGTTCACGAACAAATTGTGACTATAAATATGTTCATATATTTGGTTATTAAGCATTCACGAACGTGTTTATGAACGTTCGCGAACATGTTCGTTAATGTTAACGAACACGTTCGTGAACGTTAACAAACACTAACGAACGCTTAACAAACGAACACGAACATGATTTTCAAAAACCTTAACAAACGAACACAAACACAAACACTCCAAAAACCTTAACAAACAAACACGAACAACCTTCGTTCGTTTATGTTCGGTTTGTTAACAGCCTTACAGAGAAGTTACAATTGTTTTTAATAGTGGTTAAGTTAGTTTATGAGTTTAGGATTTTAAATAGATATAGGAATTTAGATATATTTAGAAATTTAGTTCGCTTTTGTTAATTAAAAATAAAGAGTTTCTTAATTACAAATATAATCATTTAGAAAATAAAATATTTTGTAAATTTAATAATTTAAAAAGTATTTTAGAAAGTAATATATATTGGAAAAATATATATTATTTTATAGGTATAAAATGGTTTAGGAGACTAGATAAATTGTATTTATTAGAAATATAAAAAGTTTCTTAATAAAAATGTAATAATATAGAAAGTGATATATTTTGTAAAAAAGGGGATAGTTAGTGTTAATTAATTTTTTTTTTTTAATAACGTGACATTTTTTCATTCACTGCTAGTGTATATCATATATACATTAAGGGTGCTTTAAATATTTTTCCTCTTTAAATTACTTTTTCTCAGAGCATTACTTTTATCAGATGGCATACATTAATTGGTCCATGACTAGAAAGGGATTACCTTTGCCTTGAAATGCATTTTCATTATCTTTATTAATTACCAACAAATTTTCTTATTTTCAATATCATTTCACTGTGACTCATCTGTTTGAGATCGATCAAAAAATATATAATTATATCCCCTTATTCTAATCAGTATCATCATGCCAACCATTCGAACCCAACACGCTGCGATTGCACAGGAAAAAATAAAGATATTTGCCTAAGTCATTGTTGAAAGGGAAGGGTTGTGTAGTAGGGAATTGTTGTAATATGTGAAGCAAAAAAAAGTTAAGTCAAAAGAGTGCAGATGCGATGTCCCAAAAAAAACAAGCAGTTCCATGACAGTGTAACAAAACACAATAAACTAATGGTGTCTTCTTCTAGTGACAAAGACTATTGCAAAGTTGATGGTGTTAAGGAACATCATTATATCGTATTTAACGAAAACTCGGTTTGATTGTTAACCATTATCCCATTTTCTGCCCATCATTATTGTGTGGACTATATTTCGTATGTTATAAAATAACTTTTAGTATATTAATAATGTACATGGTATTCAAATAAAGTATATTATTTGAGTACTGAAAGTACACTATTTTATATAATGTACCTTCAATACATAAATAATGTACATTTAGTATATTAAAAATGTATTTTTTGTTATGGTCCACACAGCACTGTGTGGATCATGGTCCACACAATGACAAATTATGTTGTGAGCACGTGCCCACCTTGCAATGCGGGCACAGTTCCATATCCATAATTTCTATACTGTAGATTCATAAGTTCTATACTGTAGATTCCTAAAATTTATATTTTAGATTCCAATTGTTGAACTATGTTTTCACAAATCAGATAATTATATGTTCATAATTTGATAACTATACAGTATAGAAATTATGAATTTACAGTACAGAAATTATGAATCTACAGTACAAATATTATGAATCTGCAGTATAAAAATTATGAATCTACTGTATAGAAATTATGAATCTACTGTTTAAAAATTATAAATTTTATGAATCTACAGTATAAAAATTATGGATATAGAACCGTGCCCACCTTGCGCACGTGCTAACAGCATAACGTTCTCCACACAATAATTTGTCATTTTCTGGGTGGCCCAATTTTTCAGCATGCTTGGGCCTTATAAGGCCCAATCTTTCAACTTTGTGGGCCTATGAAAAGAACACCACATGTGGCATTTGAAGACTTATGCAACACGATCCATTAGAAGCGTTGTTTCAATTAAAGGCAAAAAATGGTCCACACAGCTGTGTGGACCACGGTTCAAAATGACGTCGCTGAATTTTATGAGTTAGAATAATGTACATTATGTGTTAGGTTAATAAAATTTTTGGGGTAAGTTAATGTATATTATGTGTTAGAATAATGTACTGACTTTTTTGATGTTGTATATGGGAGGTTATGCTGACTGTTAGACTGCTTTTAAGATCACTTTGATATACATGATTTTACTTTACATTTTGTTATACTTGACTTTGGTTTTAGTTTACACTACTTGTGTTGATAGAGGGAATGCCTCCACCTTTTGCTTATTCTTACTTCACTTTTGTTATAGGTTTACTTTAGTTTGGTTTGTGAGAATAGGGTTTGTTCCCCTGTCTAGCATAGTTCATAAGGCATCTTTTGATGCTTACAAACCGCATCAATGTTTTAGAGTCATTGTTCTATTAAAAAATATAATTATATTTATAGTATTGAGAACATTTAGGCTAAGCAACTTGTTTTGACAATTTAATGTGTCAAGCAATTATGATTTAAGTAACTTACTAATCTCTCTTGTAAGGTTAGATGTCATGTCTAACTAATAACATCGAGCTATATCTTGTCGATCAGTCATCAGGAATTAAACAATGGGAGCTGACCATAGTCCTTGAATAGTGGGTGACTAGTTGGGTTGCCAAATTGGTTTGGTGCCCTTTCTTATCGAGTCGTTGACCTCAAAGCTATCACCAAGTTAAGTTAATCACATTTTCTTTTTGATAACGAGAGAAATTTGCAATTACTATGCAAATGCATGCATTATGTAAATTCTACTTATGTGTATATCCGCTTGAGCTTTTGCCTTACCAATTGTGCCTCTTGTGGTGTTAGGCTAAGGTCTCAAAGTCCAACCTAGTAGGTTGACCAATAGTTCTTAATAGGCTAATATACACAATTACACATATTACATGTATTATCTCGTTAGAGAATTAAAGGTACTAAAAACTAGAGATGCCAACGTGGTGGGGTGGGAGCATACCCCCTATCCCTATCCCTATCCCTAACTTTTTCCTCCATTTCTCATCCATATCCTCTCGGAAGAGAACAATCTCTCTATCTCGTACCCGTGGCATCCCTACTAAAAATATAATATGACCCCATTTGGTAAAATAGTTAGTCTATAAGTCAATTTTGACTTATTTGATCACTATTAGTAGCTTGACTTGGTTTAAAAATTAATATAAATGTTTGGTTAATTAACTTTTTGTATTCCAAAATGTTAAAATTCAAAAAGCTTCTTAAAACAACTTTTTGAGAAAATAAATTTTACCAAACAGATATCAACTAATAGTTAATTTACCAAACACATTTCTACAATCAGCTAATCTTATCAACTAATTATATCATCTAATTAACCAATCAGCTAACAGCTAACACCCATTTACGAAACATGGCCATTATAAAATATCTAAAAAAAAACTAGTAATGTTTGTAGAATGACTAGATAAAGAGTTAGTCATGTTTATTCAAATTTTCGCATTTAGTTTTAAATTCACTGTATTCGATTCACACTATCAATATATATATAGCAGTATATACACACATATTTAGCAGATTTTATACTATATCTGACAAATATAACAATTGAAATCATTAAAAAAATCAGTGTATCTAAAGAAATAAAAGTGGAAATATTTGTAGATTAAATTAACGTAGAAATGAGTTAGTTGTATAAATAATTGGAAGTATTGCGTATGGTGGCGCAATTTAAGGAAAGCAATAGAAGCGTTGGAGAGCATACATAGCCGCACCCCAACTATCACCTTCACTCTTCCCACTTCATCTCTCCCTCCAATTTCCAGGTCTCTTTCATCATCATCATCGTCATAATCATATATTTTTGTATATATGCTTACATCTGCATCTGTTTGTGTATGTATAAGATCTGATTGCTCTGTTTTTGCTTTGCAGGGCGGTTTTAACCTCATCAGTTTCAACAATTTTGCGGAATTTGTGTATATATAAGAGATATAGTGAGAGAGAGATAGAAAATGCTTACTTGCATTGCTCGTTCCAAGCAATCTGCAGGCGATGAATCGTTTGATCAACCAGAAAAGTTCGATCCCAATGCTGCTCCGCAGAGCAAGCAAGCGATTAAGAATCTCACTTCTCAGGTAAAATTCGGTGTAAATGGAGGATTATATGGGAGGATGTAGGGATTGATAGTTGTGTGTGAGAGAGAAGTTTTTTTGAATGTGATTTAGGTGAAATTTGGTTTTGTAGATAAAGGACATGGCGTTGAAGGCGTCAGGGGCGTATAAGAACTGCAATTCGTGTACGAGCCAGCCGATGCAGCGGCGGAACGGGAGCGGCGGCGCGGCGGACTTGGTGGCGCAGGACAAGTTCCGGTGGTCGTACCGGCGGACGGGGAGTTTCAGCTCGAGTTCGACGGCTGGGAGGAAGGAATTGGAGGCGAGGCTGAAGGGGATATCGAGCGGGGAAGTGACGCCGACTTCGATGTCGGCGTCGGCGAGTGGCCGGCGAGTTGACCCGGTGGTGTTCGTGGAGGAGAGCGAGCCCAAGGAGTGGGTGGCGCAGGTGGAACCCGGCGTTTTGATCACCTTCGTCTCACTGCCACGTGGCGGCAACGATCTCAAGCGGATTCGATTCAGGTATTTTTCTTTTCTGTGCCACTGTAATTTTATTTTATTTTATTTTATTTTATTTTTACCGTGACTTCCTTATTTGACTTATTTAACGGATGCAATTAGTACAATCTTTGTTGCATGATTTTACCAAAATTAACTGTTCTTGTTTGGTATGATATTACTCTTTGTTGCATTGGTTTTACCCCCCCTCCCCCACCCTCAGTCTCGTCTTTAATAAAATCTATTAAAATTCAATGCATTTTATTAGTGAAAAAGACAACACTGAATCTTTATCACATATTTGGTCGGACGTTTTGGGGTTAATTTCTTCTTCCTGGTTTAGAAAATTTCTATATGAAGTATATATTTAGCATTTATAATAACAAAATATCAAGAAGGGTGGTTTAGAAAATTTCAATATAAAGTAATATTTAGCATTTATAATATCAAGAACATTGAATATGAAAATTTTATTTCTCTAGAGAGACATCAGGAGAGCTCTATGAGATACTAAAGAACTGTTAACTAGATTATAAGTAAAAAAGAAAAGAACTTAATAACAGAGTTTACAAATCACTATTAGGGGTTTTTTCGTTAGAATTTTGAAATTGAGTGTAGCAACCTAAGTATATATTAGGTCACTGTGTGTAGACAGATTCTTTGTGTGTACTGATAATTGGTCATATCTGCTGAACCATTGAGTCATCGTGATTTACATCCTCTTAAATATTCTATTGGAATACGATGTGGGAGGTCTTATGCTCTAATAGACTGGGACGTGCGAGGTATTTGGGATTAGGGATTCAACCTTTTGAAAGAAAATGTTAAAAATGTTTCATTTGGAGGTTGAGAATGGGGCTAAGATTATGATCAATTATATATATATATATATATATATATATATATATATATATATTAGCTTAAAAGGAAACTCTAAAATACAAATTTATATCGAAATGATCAATTAACAATGGAGTTTGGAGTCACAATCTTCTTTTATTCCTTTTAATCACTTAAATCGAGTAATTTCTTTTTATAAAATTTTATACACGATATAAAGTGATCAATGTCTTTTTCTGGTACTATAATCTTTTAGTATTGAAAGAAATTTTTTAAATACTTGTTTATCATTTCATAATATTTAAACTTTAAACTAGATTTAAGAATAATAATCTTGGTTTATTACTGTGGGTTACCACTGTGACTCTGTGAGTGGCACTTAGGTGGTCAACCTAACACCAAAGGACTAATTGATCAATGTCTTGTACAGTTCATGCAGAAAGTAAACCTAGTGATTATTACCAGAAACAAAGCGTGCCAAAAGAAAATTCTTGACGCTCCACCTTAAACTAAATCCTCAATCCAAATAATATTAGTAGGTGTCAAGAGTAATTATACCCTATGATCATGAAGAAAAAACCATAAAGGAAAGATATAGTAATGAAGATTCCTTCCAAAAGTCCACAAAGACAAACTCATTGAGAACTTTGGTGGGTCTAGTACTCTTGTCTGGTTTTCATTGTGTTGGAAACCAAAAAAAGGTAATTTCACTAGTACACCCTTGGATTATTCTTGGTGTCAATTCAACCCTTTCTTATTTCAAAACCTATGTGTACACCCCTTTTTAAAGTTAAACACCGTTGTCTACCCATATTAGATTGGCCGGTAACAAAGATTTAGATAGATAAGGTTACATGTTTTCATATCTTGAATTTATATATATATATATATATATATATATATATATATATATATATATATATATATGAAAGTTAGTTGTATTGTGTTTATGAATGAATCTTGTGCTCGAGGTTAGTCTCTAAAGTTATATTAAGATTTGATTAATCGAGTTTGACTTGTAGCCTTAAATTAGAGTAATCTAGCCCATTTTTTTTTATATTTCAAAACCTATGTGTGTAACCCTTTTTAGAGCTAAACACAATTGTTAGACCCATGTTGGGTTGACGGATAACAAAGTTTTAGATAGATAAAATTAGGTGATTTTCATATAATGGTATCCGGGTTGGACTTCCATTTGGAAGGTTGTGAGTTCGAGCCTTAGTGGAGGCGTTATTGGCTCTTTGTGTTTCAGTAGGTTGAGAAAGTATATGAACAGATACTACAATGTAATAGGGCCAGTAGCATTCAAAAAAAAAAAAAAAATTTAATTTTTTAATTAAAGATTATTGTCTTGCTGTTGTGAGTGGATCTTGTGATCGAGATTCGAGATTAGCCAATAAGATTAGATTAAGATGTGATTAATTGAATTTGATTAGTAGCCTCAAGTTAGGTGTGGTTATTAAAGGAAGATGAGAGCGCGTAAAATGTTACTATCAGAAACCATAGGGGCAGAAGTGAAATTATGAGAAACTGTTGTAGCAAGTGTCGGGCAATTTTCATGGCTTTCGTTTTCAATGTTCTTATCACGCGCAATCCTTAGATCTGTCATCTTGCGACTATTTGGTGTCACATTTTGTCTGTCGTCCCTAAACCAAGAATGCTGTTCACATACCCAAAAATTAAATCCCATGCTGGTACCAGACTAGACTACTAGAGTGGTGACAAAAAAGGTGGATTCCAGTTTGGCTTCTTATCAAGGGACAAACTGGTTGAGAGCTTTCAAGTTCTTGTTCTTCAAATCTTAGGAAAAAGACACAATCTTAACCATTACAAGGAGGTTTTTCTCGCTTGTATGGACATGTGTCAACCATCAAGGATTTGAGGTGTTTTTTGACGTTTTGTAAATATCTGTATAATCAATTTAGACAATCTTGTCATTATTAGCACTAATTAAAGTAATGGCAAGACTAAAAGATATGACTTTTTTCCGTAACATGTAATATTTTAGACATATATTATTCCATTAGAGGTCTCTTGCGCGTATAGTATAAAAGTGATATCCATATTTTATTTTTTTATTTTTACTAACATCTTGTGGTTCAAGTGGAAGGTACATAACTACCTTAAATAAGTTGTAAATGTGAACTTTGTGATTGGAGTGATAAGAGCTAGGAAATCAGTTTGGCAATAATTTAATTTTTTTTATTAGTTCAAGTATAATGTGATTGCAAAACACCAAAGATCTTTGATGTATATATTCAAACTTAACCTAGAGTTTTAAATGATAGTTATACTTGGATCAAGAATGTGAACTTATTATTGTTTTTAAAAGATGCTCATACTTAGATTTAGATAAGAATGTGAACTTATTATTGCCCTAGGGTGCCTAATAGTCACACAAATTAAATTTGGTCATGAACTTATTATTGCCCTAGGGTGCCTAATAGTCACACAAATTAAATTTGGTCAAAGATTTGATTATATTCTTTCCAATGCCATAACACCATAATTAATATTGAGTCTAACTAGTAGGTAAATCTTTGGTTGAACAGTCATCTTCTATCATAACCTGTTTCAACTTTCAATGGACTGTGAGTCAGTATCCATCCCCATGAAATAATTTTTAATCATTTTATTTTCTTGGTAGGATGCCCTCTAAGCTAAGTCAAATGTAACAGCCCAATTAGTCCAGTTTTTGCTTTATGGTCCCCCTTAAATTATGGGAATGCACCCTTTCTGTCGATGAAAAAAAAAAGCTGTGTAGACTAGTAAGTGGTAGGCCATAATTGAGTTGCACATCATAAATATAATAAGATAATCTAATCATTAGATTATGTGATATGATGTTTTTTATCCTTTGAACCCCTCAATTTTAGCCTATTTACTTTCCCCTCCCTCCCCAACCCTCTCGTCTCCACCTCCATTTGTGAACACTGTAATAGAGTTCACTGTTCATAACTCAATAAATGGATATTCAATTCACATGTGATGAATATTATAATACGGAATATTTAATTTAGTTCTAACTTCTAACAACATAAGTTTGAACTCCTAACTTAAAAACCTTTCATCACTCTTATTATGGAGATTGGCGGAGGTAGTTAATTGCCGGCCTCAAATGCTCTTATACTAATTTTAAGAAGAACATGTACCACTATATAGTAGCTAGATTCCTAGTTTTATTTCCTCTTATTACGTAATCCAGTTTGTCCAAACAAAAGGGTATAATTTTTTTTTAATTTTTTATTTTTATGGGTACAGTCGTGAAATGTTTAACAAGTATCAAGCTCAGAGGTGGTGGGCAGAGAATTATGACAAAGTAATGGAACTATATAATGTGCAGAGGTTAAACCGCCAAGCTTTCCCTTTACCAACACCGCCCAGATCCGAAGATGCAGAGGTATGGTTTTTCTTCTCCAAGATGCTTATGTTTATTTATTAACACATTTTTCTTTACTTTTTAGAATTTATTTCAAGAAAATGGGGGGGTTTTATTTGTTCATATTTACTACAGAAACTATAAGAAAGTAAATAATCTTATTTTTATACTCCCACTAGTGACCTAGTGGCCTTACATTGGGTTCTAACAAATTTAGGGAGTGATTGTTGCCGAGCTACTTGGCAATTTTTGTAAACAAATTTGTTTATGAATTGACATGATAAGGCTAAATACAAATATGATTTGTTAAGGTTAATATGTCAGAGTTATAAATACAAACACAAACACAATTTTTAAACAATTTAAATAGATCTACACGATAGACATGTTTTCAAGTTCACTCACACACGAAAACTCATATAATTTTCTTTTTAGAAAATAAATTTGTATTTTTAAAAATAAAATTCTACAATTAAATTCAACAAAGTAGTAAAGATATTCAATTTATAACATACCGTAATATGATAAAAATAATAATAACTAATTTTAATATTAGTTAAATGAGTTCTTAACGGGTTAAACATGTTGAATTTCAAGGGGTAGCTACTGGTTAATGACCCGGGACAAATTGACAAAACCAAACACAAATCCATTAATTTTTGTGTCCTTATATATGTTAACATGCAATTAAGTCATGTTGCAAATTGGCATGCCTATGTTTATATAAGCCCTACATACCATGGTTTGTCATTATATTCATAAAATTCAAACCCAAAATCTTTAATAATTTGTTTAAACGGAGAATAAGCTAGCTAGGTTGATTTCAGGGTTGTAATTTGTAAAATATAGAAATGGAGTAGTTAAAGTCTGTAACTAAAATTAAAGCAATGAGCAATAATTTTGATTAATTTGTTGTTTAATTAAAATATATTATTATATTATATTGTAGAGTTTGAAGATAGAATCAGCAGCAGAAGAGAGTCCAGTAACGCCACCACTAAACAAGGAGCGGTTGCCTCGTACCTTATACCGGCCTATATATTCATCCTCGGAGTCTCTGGAGCAACAATCCTGCGGCGTGGCCTCCTCCACCCCAAAGCTGTCGAGCATCAGTGGTGCGAAGACGGAGATGTCATCAATGGATGCGTCCTCGTCGATGAGGACGAGCACCTCCCGCGACGCCGAGCTGTCCATCAGTAACGCCAGCGATCTGGAGAGCGAATGGGTTGAGCAGGACGAGGCTGGAGTGTACATCACCATCAGAGCTTTGCCCGATGGAAAAAGAGAACTCAGACGTGTTAGATTCAGGTTTAATTTCATTTCATTTGCTATCATATATATCCTCTTTAATTTCTCTGCTAGTTGCTACTTCCAGACCTAGCTTACTCAATATATATATAACTCTGATGTTTAATGCAGCCGGGAAAAATTTGGAGAGATGCACGCCAGGGTATGGTGGGAAGAGAACCGGGCGAGGATACATAAGCAGTATTTGTGAATCAACAATGGTATATATACATATACACCTGAATTTGAAGTTGCTGATATATATAAAGAATGAGGAAATATATATATGGGGTGAGATAGCACTTTGGTGTTAGTTGCGCCTTGTTTTTTTGCAACACCATAAGATGGAGGTCAAGTAAGTGTGAATGAATCCAGGGCGGCACTCTCTGCTGTACGTGGGGGATTTGTCTTTTTTTTTTTTTTTTTTTTTTTCTCAATATTTAATTTTGAGTACAATGGATGAAAGAGCATTCCTAGTGCTTCAAATCTACTACTAGGTGTATATGGGAGTTTACAATTATTTTATGTTAATACGGGGGAATTTTTATTTTATTTTGTTCTTTTTCCTTTACTATGTTCTGTTCTACAGACGTACTGCAACCCTTGATACCTTAAAGCTTAATGCATATTTAATTTTTTCCTTTTCTCTCCCAAAATGTTTCTTTTTATTATTCTTCTCTAAGCTCATTTCATTTTCCAACATCTAAAGAATCAATTAATGCTTTTTAGGTAATATACCATTCTTGAAAATCTTTGCAAATCAAGAGTTTGGTTCAAACATTGTTAAAGTAGAAAAAAATATATTTGTTTAATAGTAAATAAGAATTAGAATCAAGAGAAAATGATACTTTTTTCTCTTAAAGTCTGTGAGTTAATATATTAAAGTGCGTGGGGTTTGTGCTTAATGTGCGTGAGGTTGGTGCACACTATCATTTGTGCAGACGCTATCAAACATTTGTGCAGACGCTATCATTTGTGTAGACGCTAACATTTGTGTAAACTATCATTTGTGTAGGCGCTATCTTCTTCCCGACACGCATTTTTTTTTTTTAATTTTTATTGATTTGAGCCGTTGATCTAAATTTGATCAATAGCTCAGATCTAACCGCACGGGAAATTATACCCGCACCTTCCCTATATATATATATATATATATATATATATATATATATATATATATTAAAGTTTCATATTTAATGCAGGGAATGGCCTTTTTTTTTTCTTTCTTATTTTTGATTTCATTGTTAAAAATAAAGAAATAGAAGGATAATGAAGTTTTTAGTTTTATACTGTAATAAATAAATAAAGGAGCAAATTACACTTTTGGTCCTGTGACTATTGGGGTCTTGTTAATTTCAGTACTCGACTTTAAAAACTGACAATTTAATCCTGTAACTATGCAATTTTTAACACATTTAGTCCATCCGGCCAAATCACCGGCCAAATGTCGCCGGAAATTTGTAAAATCATTTTAATTTGTTTAATTCGAGGGCAATATGGTCATTTCAAGTTCTTCCTTTTCTTCCATTCTCCTTCCTACTTGCCGCTCGGAGCCATTACACCTGATGTGCCGCTGCTCGACGCTGGCGACCCCAAGTCATCGACAATTGGAGTCCAAAATCACCGGCGAACACCATCCAGTGAGTTATACGTATATATGTATTCAAGTTTGTTGTTATTATATTGTGTTTTTAGCTTGTAGGTTTGGGTGTTTCTGACTTTGTTGTTGAATTTTGTGGTGGATCAAATCATCAACGATCGTGAAACTGGAGATCCAGAGGTTTTGGCTTCGTTACCTTCATGGATGAGCAAGCAATGAAGGATGCTATCGATGGGATGAACCGCCAATCCCTTGATGGGCGTGACATAACAGTGAACAAGGCTTTGTCTCGCGGAAGCGGTGGTGGTGGCGGTTTCCGTGGTGGACGTCGTGAGGGTGGCGACGGCGGTGGCTACGGCCGCATGGACGGTGGTTACGGTGGAGGCGGCGGTGGCTATGGCCGCAGGGATAGTGGTTATGGCAGCGGTGGCTACGGCGGAGGTGACCGCTACTCTAGAGGAGCTATGATGGAAGCTGGAGGAGCTAATCTAGCATTAGTGTTGCGTGATTGATGTTTTGCCCCTGGATCTGTTAGATGTTAGATCGATGTTTAAGAACTGATTGGGCGTGGCAAAATCGACTGACCTCTAGACTATTCTGCCTCATTTTCCGGCTAAATTTCAACGTCGCCGTGGCATAATCGAATCATACAACACCATTTTGGGCATTCGACCTAATGCTTTTTGCTTCTCGACAACCTGCAGAAAGCCCTGGGAAAAAGTATTACCAAATTAAAAGTACCAAATGAAACATTTGGCATGGATGAACACAACCAAGGAGTGGCAGCTGTTCTATACCCAGGTGCATTTCCGGCCAGCAAGTGCAAGGAAGAAGAAATGACATGAAATGACCATATTGCCCTCGAATTAAACAAATTAAAATGATTTTACAATTTTCCGGCGACATTTGGCCGGTGATTTGACCAGATGGACTAAATGTGTTAAAAATTGCATAGTTACAGGACTAAATTGTTAGTTTTTAAAGTCGAGTACTGAAATTAACAAGACCACAATAGTCACAGGACCAAAAGTATAATTTGCTCTAAATAAAGTCACCAAACTTTTTTTAAAAAAAAAAAACTTTATAAATTCCACATCCCTAAATAGGGGCCTTAGTTTCCCTTAAACCAAAAAGTCACCAAAGTTTATAAATTCCACATCCCTAAATAGGGGGCTTAGTTTCCCTTAAACAAAAAGTCACCGAAGTTTAAAATTTCCACATCCCAAAATAGGGGCCTTAGTTCCCCTTAAACCAAACAAGGGTATATGATATTTCAGTGTTTATATTCCAGAAGTCGACTCCTATCAATGTCCAATTCCGAGTGGCAATCTGGCAGATGAGTAAAGCATGCATGCATGCATCAAACGTACACAAACAACATTCATCTGGCATGCTATCATGCTATGCTATGCAGATGAATAAAGTAGTGGACCTTGTTGCAGAGGATCAGCAAAACTTAGATGCTCCATCACTGGGGTCAACTTCATTCCGATGATTTTAACTTGTGGATTCGAGTGGCCATCCAAGAACACTTTCGTAATCTGCACAAAACCCCCAAATGTAAAATAAAAACCATAGATGCTCTGTCATCATAAACTCTCAGCAATATAATGACCAAGAGATTGCAAAACACAGCAAGTAACTAACAAATCATTGGGGAAAACACAAACCTGAGTACAGCCAAACACCTTCAGAACTTCTAGGGATAAGCAGCTATCTGCGATCAACCCCAGGGCTTCATCTGTCAGGTTGCGACACCAAGACACGTCTAAACTCACCAAATTTCTACAATGCTCTGCGACTGACATTGCAGTGTTGTGTGACACCTGAAAAAACGTTGCAGCAACTTTAAGCACATAAATAAGCATATCATAGGAGCGAAACAAATTAAAAACACCCCTTACACCATGAGATGTTTGCTTGCTTAGCTTTGCACAATGAACATCCATTGATTGACTAACAGTACGTCATATCAGAAAAATAAAAGCAATAATGCAATATAGGAACTCTATGTTCTGGTAAGTAAAAGAGACAACAATTAAGAAACTATCTATCAGACAGATGAAAAACAAGAAAATTGAGGTGTGTTACAATGTGCATTTTATCTCCAAGAGCAAGTTTTACTGTAAATGGAGCGAGAACATCAATTCATACCTTTTTTATGTTATTGAGGGACAGTTCTTTCAACCACTTTCCACTAGTTTCAAGATATGCAGCAATAGCTTCATCACTGTCATAAGAGCATAAAAAAGGAACTCCTATTATTCTTTTCTTGTAAAAAGGAGCAAACTTTAGCAACAGGGTAATACTAAAAACCCAAGTGTACATGATTCCATAATATCCATTACTATGGTTAGCTACTTAGCTTATAAAAGAAAGAGCAGCTTTCACACAATACAAAATTATTCATGAAGTAAAACCCACCTGAATGCATTCCGGCAGAGCTTTAGCTTGTGAAGCGCTCTACAACCATTAGCAAGATAACCTATGGAATAGTCTGTCAATCCACACAAGTTACTCAGATCTATTGCACATAATCTGGGACAAGATTCGGCAACAGCTTTCACAGAACGGTCAGTCAACTTCCTGTATCAAATAAAAGACACACAAATCAAAATGACGGCTTAAAACAATTTTAGGGAGCATCATCTGTGCAAATGCTTAGGAACACCTACTTGCAGTCCTTCAAAACAAGCTCCCTCATATTATGACCATGCCGAGTAACAAACTCTATAACAAAATCATCACAAACTTCGGGGATACCAGCTACTGACAAAACTTCCAAATGTTCAAGTTTTAACAAAAATGGCAAAACCAGTGAACAGTCTATTGCTTCGCAATCATCTAAATACAGCTCCTTTAGAACTGATCCCAATGAGTCAGACAAACACTTGATACCATTAGAAGAAAGAAGAGAGCACTGACTAAGATTAATGGATCTCAAAGAAGGTGCAGAAGAAACAAGAGCGGTTAGCCCAATGTCTGAAAGACGACAAGCAGCCTTCAAAGATATAGTAGTTAGAGCAGGCAAACTATTTGGCAAGCGAGCTAAAGTAGCTAAAAGTGTATAATCTGGCAAACAGCGACCGCATTGATCAAGTTGTAAAACCTGATTCCAACAATAAAAAATATTCAGATCCATGGAAAGAAGTAAAATCCCACACAATCAAGGAAATATCTATTCAACAAATAAAATGCTTATTGAAACATCGATTAAAGAATGGACAGTCCTGCAATATATTAGTGCAAACTTTATGCATAAGTTGGTGTACAGTAATCCAGCTGTCAGCCTTGACAGGATGCATAGTTGGAGTGCCAAACACCAACTTTTGCTGAAAACAGAAACTGTAAATAATAGGAAATCATGTGTGAATTAGAAAAAGAAAGGTGAGTGCAGAAGAAGAGGTGGAAGCACCTAAAATGTACACCATAACAGACTCAATAGTTTAGACAACTAGCACAAGACTCAACAAAGGGTCAAAAGCCAAACCAGGGATAAAAACAAAATAAAAAGCATATCTGGCAAATAAAGAAAGGCGCATACTGGACATGAAAGTTTTATTAGGGCAGAAACAGCAGCAGAGAGCATTCAGTTATGTATTACCAAGTAAGATTGGACTCACCTAGCCATGCAATGAACAACTCATAAAGCATTATTCTCATGCCATGACAATTGACAAACTTATGCCCAGACGGGAAGGTGAACAATCTAAGATAGGGAGAAAGTAAAACCTTACCGTTAAGTTGCCGGTTCCACACCTTTCAAAGGAATTTACAAAGAGCTCCTCAGTTAACCACGAACAGTCCGTCAGGCGTATCTCAGTAGGAGACCCAGAGGTAAGAAGTCCAAGAAAGTGACAATTCATTTTCCTAGAATCACAGAGTAGATGGCATAGTTCGTGTTTGAGTACATCAGGAATGCAATCAAGTGAAGTAACTCCATCTGCATTCTTTACCAGTGCGTGCATGCACAGATCTCTCAACAAGGGAACAACCTTTCTCCTTTGATTGGGCTGTGTATCCTTTTTTGGATTCCATAACAATGGTGCAACCATACGTTCAGGGACAGAACCCGTCTCAGTCTGTTTATGCATATTCTTTTCACGATCTTGGATAATCTTCATAGCAGTTGAGAACGGCCCAGGCCAGTCTTCTAATACTTCTTTTGGTGGTTGATTATCTCTTACAGCCTCATCAACAACAAGGTTCCCTTCCCCCTGGGAAGAGAAATGAGCAAATCTTGGCGCACTTCGCTTAGCTATATCCTTGAACTGTTTCCTGTAACCTCTTTCTGCATTTGTCACATTCACAGTAGACTCTTTGATCTGTTCTCCATGTTGTGTTGCTTCATGCTCAGCAGCATGGCTTGTTTCTACTTTAGATCCAGAATCCTTATTCAATGTGCAAAAATCCTTGGATAAATCACTGTCAATCACAACTCCTTTTCCTTTTTCATTTCTACTAAGCCTCCTCGTGGCATTAACAACAGTAACATCTTTACTATTATTTGATAGATCCACTTCAAATTTCACAGAATTAGAAGCCATTAACAACGGTCTCTCAGCAACTTTTCCTTTACCTTTCTCTTCTACAGTTAATCTCTTTCTTTCAAGATTTCCTTTCCCATCCCTGGTGGCATTTAACTCTAAATTTGTCATTGCAGTGGCCCCAGAACCCTTTGACACATCCTCACTCCCCTTATCAGGAAAGGACTTCTGACCACCCTCAATTCCTCCGTTTCCTCCAGCAACAAAAACAGAACCCCCATTATTTACTTCAACTTCTCTAATAATCTTCTTCCCTGAGCGCAAACTAAGGGATGTGTCAACCTCTGTCTGTGCTTTCAACCGTATTGTGTCCATCTCCATGCGCCGTCTTTTCACCCGACTTCCCTTCTTAGAACATTCAACTGGTTCCCTGCTATGATCACCACAAATGTTCAACATGGTATCCGTTCTTATTGTTAATTCCTCAACTACACTAACCAGTTTATGCTTGCCCACATCTCCCATGATCTTATCTCCCTTTTCTTCAAGGCCCAAACCACCCTTTTCAATACCATCACCATCCTTCAAATTTCCTAAATCACATCCATTACTAGCAGTAATAATATCAGAAAAAGCATTACTAAATTTGGCAGACAATCTAAGACTCCGCCTAGGTACAGCATCCGGAGGTACTGAACGCTTCCTGGAAGAGCCTGTAAGCGGAGTGGTCTCTCCCGGCAGATTGCTCAATGCTTCCACAGATTTCTCTGGAGTCGATGGTTCCACAACCTCTTTTTTACGTTTTTTAAGCAAATCCACAGATTTCGGCGCAGGAACCACTTCTCGAGATCGCAGAACCGTCATTTCTACACTACTGAAACCAGACCATTCAAACATTCAAACATTAACAACATAAGTACATATTCACTCGTAAATGCATATATACTTGAAATAGATGCACATCAGATGAGTTCAATCGAGATATCTAAATGCTTAGAGTTCGAAATGCACTAAAACAATCAAGCAAATGCCAGTGAGAGAGTTAGAGCAAA